CGGCGGGCGCGCGAAATAGAGGCTCTTCGCCGCCGAAATAAGACGCCCACGCCCGCGGCACTCGCTCGCCCGGTGCAGCCTGCCGCCGCGGCCCCGCCCCGCCCCGCTCCACCCCACTGGTCATGCTTCTCTACACCCCGTTCTGTTTCGTGGTCCTGCCCGCGACCCTGTCCCGTCGCACCGCAGCCCTGCCCAGGACTACCCCACCGGCATGGCTTCATTCCGTTCTGCTTCTCGCCGTCGCGTCCTATCGCGCTCCATCCCGTCTCGTCCCGGCTCGTCCCGACCCGTCCTATCCCATCCTTTCGCTTCAATTCATTCGCCTTTCCGGTCTCAGAATTTTTCACGTACGCATTGCTTCCGAGGGCCGAAAGCGCCAAAAGCGCGAAAACTAATATTCGAAAAGTTAATAAACACAAATTCTAGTCCACTACGTATATAGATGCACAATATTCGGATCAGATTATAAGGCATCATATCAGGTAACTCAATCATAGCTGTCCAAGCGAGGTTACTGAAATGGCAAAAATGATTGCATTCATTTGCGATTTCCATTTTAATATAGTTCATGAAGATGTGATATATTTCTCGCACAGACTGATCGTTGTCGACGAATCGTTACTCCATCAACTGGAAACGACTGCAGTTGAAAATTGCACAATTTTGTCACAGTTAAGAGCCCCGCGTCTGGAAGCATTCGCACATACATGCATAAAACATTATTTCCCACCTTATCTCCAAAGAGTTGCGTTTTGGGGTAACCGGTTTTACACTCCCTCCACCCACCCTCCCGTTTTTTTCTGCGATTCGGCTTTTTTCGGAGCAGTTGCTCCGCCCCTTCCCACTCCGAAAGCCTCTTCGCGCAGGCGCTTGCATAACGGAGAGCCGCGATTATATGCGTCCGCGCGCCTTGGCAGCGACCCCTGCAGGCTCCCACTTATCTCTCGCCTCGTTAGAGCGCCGCTCAGGCGATCTGTTTCCCGCCATCGGGCGACAACTCGCGAGGGCCCGGGCCGGGCCGAGCCGCGCTGCGCTGGGCAGGACAGTTGCCGCCGCTGGAAACCGTCAACGACGCGCCGAACGATCTACGAGGCCAAGCTTTTAATAAAACTCCTCTGAAGAATGCATTTATCTCTCATGTTCTTTATTAATGGGAATTCACACTTTTGAGTTTCCTCATGCCAAAATAGTATCCTCATTTATCCTCATGCAGTTTATTCGTGCGACTTAAAATTGTCCTTTTTTTCATATTTTTTCTAAGAATTGGCAAATGTCTATTAATAATGGAGTACATTATCTGAGTGATAGAGATACACGCTGGGGTATCCATTATCGTAAATCTTCTGTAATGAGAAAATCATTTTATTAATATTTTAAAGAAATTAATTTAAACAAATGCAAAAAAATTGTACATTGCAAAAACATATTAAATTTTTAATACATGAAGATTTTGGAAAATGAGTTCTTTAACAGTTCGGAAATGACAGGTAAGTTCGTATATATTTCGCTCAGAACAAACTTATCTTAAGAACATGAAATAAGTCAAATAAATGCGCAGGTTTACAAGGGTAGATTATTAACCCTTTTCTAACAGTTTCTTCGTACAGTTTCTTCTAACAGTTTCTTCTTGTTGCTGTTTTCAAATAAAACAACAACAATTGAGCAATTCTTGCAGAGATATCTTGTTGCGTACAGATAAATGTGTGTGAGTTAGGGCTGATTAGGCACAGGGAAATTCTCGATGTATGCATACAGTGTTTTTGTTTTCGTTTCCTATCTCGTATGTGATTACGTCTTTTGCTATTTTGTAAGAACAAAATAAAACAGAAAATACGTGACCTGTCACTTGTACCTAATGGAAGCCGGAACAATTAGGTCCGTTATTATTGTACAATTCACACCCTACGAAATAATCATATTATATGATTATCGACAGCTGGCAACAAGCAAACAAAACTATGAACTGACAATATTAAAGGGAATACAAATATATCCGTGTATATTTTGAAAAGCACAATTTACTACGAAAGTCATGTATGAAAATCAGAGCAATAAGAATCACAAAACATGTCGACCGGGACGTCCCCGTTTGGTATCACACAGCGACCTTAGCTACCACGCGTACGTGCGACTAGTGGGTTTCAAAACAAAGTCGGCCGGTGGGTGTTGCGGGCGTGTATCGTGCGTCGCCTCACGTATACTTCGGTAACGGCGCAGACCTCCAGAAGCTAATGGGTCAGGGTGGCGCCTGGAATCGACAGATAGGCGCTTCAAGACAAACAGATATTTCTATTCATTAGAAGGCGCCACGAATGCTGACAGGGCGCGTTCAGGCAATTTCTCGTGCATTCCGAGTTGAAAGCTCGATTTCGGAATGTATGCTGGATCTTTTATTACGATTTGTCTCGGGCTAATCATTCTATCCTGGATAGAACCAAGATCCTCAACTCGACCCTTAGAGAAGGGCAGGGAAGTCAATGCATGATGAAAGTACCTACAGTATACTGTTTTTACAAAATCACGATCATTTATTATGCTATTCAATTGTACTTGTATTACTAGAGAGTGGCTAGGGTACAATTATAGTAATGAATAGATGGTGCGTGAACAGATCGGTAGCAAGCCCTAATTTACAAGATTGCTTAAAGTGGTCTCGTTACACCGGAGGAATGAAGATTGACCCAAAGAAAATGTACAATCCGTTAGGCAAAATGGTAATCGTTTTTATGATAACGGACCATTATTAACAAGTTTTAAAATAGAATAAGGATAATGACGAATGGCACCTAACAAGTCAATATCATGAAATAGGATTTCTGGTTGCGTCAAGAGCTTTCAAACAAGTTTCCCAAATGCACAATTTATTTTCGTCGATACGATAAAGCAATGAAGTAAGGGACAAATTTATTCCAGACTAAAATAATCTGCAAATCACGGAAATATCTATTTTTATACCTTTAATTTACAGGAAAGTTTTATGAATATTTAATTGCACAAGCAAGAAAGGTAAGATTCAAAACGGAAAACGGGAGAACCCGAGGAAGTAGTCCAGAAATCCACTCTATTCCCCGCAAATTCCACATGGATTGGGCCAAAATCTAAACCCTGGCGCGGAACTGCAAAGCTCTCGATGGTTCGTCACCATCGGGCCGTCCTCTGTCAGCAATAGTTGTACTACGTTGTAACTATACTTCGATTTTTTCTATAATGTCCGAAGATATCACGTGATTGTTATAACTCCTGCCTCATAAAATGAATATTTTTAATTAATTACCGAACGTCATTTCCAACGGGGCTCATTGTCTCGGAAATGTTCCTACCTCTTTTTAAATTATTCATTTTAGCATTCGTCAGGCCTAAGGTGTAGCCAATGTCATGATGACCAATGTCATGATGTCAAATGACCCAATGCCATCAGCCACTATAGGAAAATGGAAGTACAGAGCCCAAGTGCATTGCTCCCTCTCCGCCTTCTGAGAGGCCTCGCGAGCGGAGGCGGCGGCGCAGGCGCGGGGGCGGCCGCCTCCGCCTCGCGAACACGGCGACACGGAACCTCGCGACGCCACGTAACAACAGCGCCAGTCGGCGCGCTGGCAGCAGACGCTGCGTGGGACACTCGTCGCCCGCCGCCGGCACGCGTCACTGTACACACGCGGCGGAAGGTCGCACAAAGGCGCGGCGCACGGCGGCGCACGCGCTCGCAAACAGCTGCTGCTCGCGAAGACGCTCCGCGAAGGAGCACCAGAGCAAACGGAGGCAGCGCTTCTTAGCAGCGGCCACGTGGCCGCACCGCTCCGCGCACGGGCGCGGGCGCGGGTTGCGCGCAGTTAAAAGGAGACTCCCACGGGAACCGCGCGGCCACCAACCAACGCAAGGAGTCACCCTTGGTTGAGAAAAACCGCGTGTGCACATATCGCTACTTGTTTGATTCTTAAACCACCTACCCCAGAGGTTCCCAACCTTTTCTGTACCATCGCCCGCTATAAAAGAAAGAAAAAAATCGAACGCCCCTTATTTCACAACAGTTAATTTTATATGAATGATCAAAATATTGTTTCATATTATCTGCACCAAATTTATCTGTTTCTTTATCTATTAAAAATATAAGAACAAATTAACAAAACAACGACAAAATGTACAATATTTTTTGTAATAAACATTGTAATAAAGTAATTTTGTAATAAAGTCAATAATAAATAAAAAGAATGAAACGAACATGAACTCCCCACATTTGCCTCCGGATCTTCTACCGCAACCATCGAAGGCTCCAGTGCCAATGGGAGGCGTATCGCTCCAGATGGGAATGATCTACGGAAATAGTTTCCGACTGAAACTGTACAACTGCTTGTAGACTTAGGCTTTTAAAGCAAAATGTTTGGAATGTTGATAAAATACGATACAATTTGGGTGACCTCTAGAAAGAACTCTTCTTCCAGGCGTAATTATAATTCCTTTTTTGAAAGGATAATCGATCTTTACAAGCGATTTACATCTGAATAAAATAGTTTGTTAAAAAACGTCGTTGAAAAGTTTGTCTGAACTCAAACGAAACGAGAGATTAAGATATACGTTAACAATGAAACTCTACGTGTGTGTAAATATTAATTCGACGTAAGTTTTCAAATGCTACAATCTCTTGAAATCATTGTATATTTTAATCGCACAACCTCCAGGAAGAAATGTGCAAAAATACGAGTACCAATACACATTTGATATAATTTCAATTTGAAATGTCAAAATAGAAACTGTTCATGAAAAATTTGAATGCTTGATCTAGAGCGTTGCTAATCAATATGTTTGTATGCAACTAAGGGCAAGTTTTTCTGATTATTAAATAAGTAATAGTTTTTTTTAATTGCTCACATTTTAGGTAATAAGTTGAACTTCTAAAATAAGACAAATAGTTGTGAACCAGTCATATAACTACATAGACACCTCACTATTGCATGAGGGCGTAATGACAAAAAGTATGAAATGCAGAAGCACCACCGGAGGCCTACCTTGTTCTTTGGCAGGTTGTCCACCTTCATCTTGGCGCACCGGTTGAGTGCGTGCAGGCGGCGAAACAGCGACTGCAAGGAGTCCGCGTCCAGGAACGGATGGTCCTTCTGCACACCGCTCACGTCGATGGGGAACTGCAGGTCTGTGGGCAGAGAGCGCGCGGGTCAGGCGACAGCTTCGTTGTTCGTCGGCGGTGGGGCGGGCGGGGCGGGCGGGGGGGCGGGCGGGCGGGGCTAGTACGAGGAACGCGCCCGGCGGACACTTTACGCTTTGCGTCACCTCGCGGAGCGCAGACGGTCCGCAGGGACCGCCACCCCACACGCCGCGGCGGGGGTGGGGCTGGCGGGTGGGGCTGCGGAGGGGGCGAGGTGGTGTTCGCGGAAGGGTCGCCGAAATTACGTGGAGAGGCCGCGCGGAGGAGGAAAGCAGACACAAAACAATGGGTTACGCGCGGCCAGGCCAAACCCTCCGCGGAACAGAAAACTGGCACTGAACACGGTCAAGCTCGCGGAACTCTATGAAGATACACGCTCCTTTGCACGTGTTCACGCCAGTAGGAATGCAAACATGTACCCGAGTGAAATATACAAGTCATTTCCTTGCTTCCTCACGTAGACCCACACATCTCGCGGAGCTTAAGGTTTTCCTTTCCAACAGGTGGTCAACACAAATACCCCTGTGGTACCGATTTCTAGGATCAGGCGTATTTATGGTTTGCTGCGTGACAGGCGAGACTGGGGCCGGCTTGCCAGCCACGTGCCAGGTGGCTCGGGAAGGGGCCGATGTGACGTACGATGCAGTCCTTCATACGGAGTAGACATGCGTGATGAAAACAAAAAATTATGTTTATCGTATCTTTTACCCACGCAGGGTTGAAAAGTAGACACATTGCTGGAGAAAATGCAAGATAGTAAATCAAATATTTTTCCTGGAACCTTTCCGCCCAAAGAAGAGAAAAAATGATGAGAAAGATAAGCAACTGGCGTGACGTGCAGTGTGAAATTGATCTCAAAGTGCTGGCGCATGTACGGATAGCTCACCAAGATATGATCCAAAAATATCATAAAGTGTTCTTTTGACATATGAATTTCATCTGGTCAAACTTGTGGGATACCATACACAGAAAAGTTTCTCAACAATAGAAAAATAAAACAAAAAACGTCAATACACAATGCATAAAAAAAGCTGTCGTAAAGCTATACGATTAGAAAATATTACGAATCTAAAAACATTACATGATTGTCAAAAACTCTTGACACATCAGATACATAGTAAATGTAGTACAAAGTATTTTAGTAATGATTTAAAATAAATCACAAAATATCAGTACTTTGTTACTAATATAGAATCATAGAACATAAAAATTAAATACTTTAAATAATTGAATTTGTAACATTTAAAGTACGGATACATTTTGATTCTAATTTAAACGCGAACACAATACTCAAATTTACATTTCGGGCATCCGATTATGAATTGTGAAAATAGATTATAAATAAAATAACATTAACTCAATTTCGGCTGATGAATAATACATCAATTACGGATACAAAATACCCTAATTCCAAAGCCCTAAAGTGTTTTAGTAACAGCGTAGAGCACGAGATTTATATGAAATTCATAAAAGAAAAACAAAACAGAAAGAGATTCAGATTTATTTTGTTGCTCACCGAATAAAAGGCGTACCTAACACGATGTAGCAGAGCATTTGAATTTGTTGAGCATTAGCTAACCCATACAAAATATGAGAGATTCAATAACACAGCAGGGAGAACTCTCAACTCCCACGAAAAGAGTAATATTTGCAAGTTACAATTACTGATTAAAAGTATTTCCGTCATTACCTATCAGTGTTATATATTAGGCAATAAGTAGTAATGATTAGTAACTAATTTTCGTTCACTCACGTTAGTTTACCGACTTACGGAAATTTCGCTTCAATGACGCAGTGCAATTTTATATTTTCAACTTTGATAATTTAATGTAAATTATTAGAAAGGAATTAGATGTTAGAATTACCAACGACATAAAATACGGATCGGACGAGCCACTTCTTTTGACCAGACAACAGGACCCTTCTCTGAAACGAGTTTGACATCTCGATCATCCGAGATCAGAAACAAAGTTATCACTAACACCAACCAGTGTCTCATCCAGCGGGAAACCATGAGAGCCATGCACCCCCCCTGCGGAAAAAATTGTGAGTTAACTCAATTTATTAAAAATAATTACCGGAAATAGCTCTCATCCCACCTCACACAGTATTCACATTATGGGTACTCTCGCTATTTCTTATTAACAATCCATAAAGTTATCTTGAAAACATACTACGGAGGTCAGACCCGCAATTGCCACCCCCTGAAATACATTCCGTATCCACCATTGACGGATCTGAAGGCGGCGCGCGGGCGGTACTTACGGCAGGCTAGCGAGAGGCGCGCCATGGCAAGCGTGCGGAGCGCGGCCGCAGCGACGGCTGCGGCGAAGGCAACGGCACGTGTGACGCCTGCCCGCGTCTTCCCCACGCGCCGGCCCGCTGCTTGCCCGCCCCGCCGCCAGAAGCGCCACCCGCGCCCCGGCGCCTCACGCGAGCCGGCCTCTGACGTCATTGCACACACGGAACGGAAGGAGGCGACGCCGAGTGCGCGTGTTGTACGACGGGGGCTGTCCACGCCACGCTCGTTTCGGTGCCTCTGCTTCGCCGCGCTGGCGGGGGATCAAAGCGGTTGCGGGCGAACATCGCCTTCCAATGCCACGGCCCACGAGCGCCAAGTTTACGGCCGAAACTTCGGCTGAGGACTTGGGAATTATGACACAAGAGGATGTCGCTGAAGTACGAATATTGCTTGAGAGTGACTGAAAATAATTTTTTTCGATAGAATTGGCACCACTTTTGTATAATTGTATATGCCATAACACGTGAATTCGCTGTAGCCCTTGTGCTAAATTTATTTTTTAATGTTATTTCTTTTATTTTATTATGTTGTCTCTTTCGATTCAACTTCGTAAACGTCTTTTCTAGTCAGTACATGTTTTGTACATCACAGAAAACGCGAGGTTTACAGCCGCACATCAACTGATCACAGGCAATTAACAATCAGACAATGAAGTACTACATATGAGTATTTGTAATACATCACGAAGAATCATTATTTAATTAAGTTTAATATCTGATGTGTAAGGTACTCTGTACTCCATATCAAAAAATATGAAATTAAGAAAACAAAGATTCAAGGTTGCCGGTCCAGATGGCCGAGATCTTTAAGGCAGTAGTGCGTTAGAGATCTCGAACAGAAGGATAGCAGGTGCGACTCCGCTTCGGGCATCGTTGTATTTGTGTTTGTCTTTTCACCCCTCACCATCAATATATGATGTCATCTTCATAGCTACCATACCGTTAAATACAATAGTGGTTGCTAATGATATAGACGTTGATATGACCTTAAATAAAACATAAAAAAAGATTCAAGGTTATTAACCGCACTTTATCAGATTTTTAATTAATGATTTTTATGAACGAATGAAATATATTGACATAGCATCGCACCGGAGCTACATCGTTATATCTAAAAGTACACCAGAGCGGATTAATTAGCATAGCAAGTAATGAAGAGAATAGTTGATAAGAGGGATTTCCGAACATATCAGAGAGGGGTTTGATATCAAACCAAAGTTGATAAAATATTATATTTGCTGAGCCATTGAGGTTCCGAAATTTAAAAAAGTAATGTTATGAAGCCGAAGTTTATACTTTCTGCAGATTCGAGCGAGAATTTGTAAAACAATCCTCAATAGTTTTATGAGCAATGAATACAAAAAACTAAGAGGTATATGACAATACCTTTGCGTTTTTAACATTTCAACTGCATTTCAGGAAGTAGTTCATTCGTGTAAGAAAAACTTAACTTTCTTCAATATTCTGAAAATTCATATAATGTATTTGTGCAACCAAAAAACTCTCCAATATTGGAAATTTGCGTTGTTTATACTTAACTAAGGCATCTTTTCTCCACTTCCGAAACAATCATTGAAAGAACAATGTATACCCGTTACAAATCTAAAAGGGATAACGAATGCCTAAAAAAGAAACATTACAGAATTGTCCTCTCCATGTAACCCCTAAGCAAAGTGTACCTCTCCACATGAAAGTACAAAGGGATAAAAAATCACTAATTGGCATGCAGGTACGATATTGATTCATAACGTTTGACCCGAATCGGTTCCATCTGAAGGCATTCCCATATCCCTTATCTTCATTTTTATCTGCATCTCTTATCACGCACTCTGGAACATTTTGTCAACACGCACAGAGTACATTGCAGAGGCGCGCAAGGTAACAGGAAACACGCATGACATCATCAAAGCTCCAGAACGGAAAGGCAAACTAATTCACAATGGAGCAGAACAAGTAGCTTTCTAGAGTGATAATTCTGCTCTATATACACATGATATGAGCAATATACGCATGAATAATCTGTCTTGCACATAGATCGATAAGTTTAATAATCGTGAATGAAAAAGCTATGTAGTGCAACGACAATACTGTATGAGTATTTTGCGATAAGACAAGAACGTAAACATATGGCAACCTTCAATGAGTGACATCATTCCATTCAAAAGAGTGGGTTCAGAAGATGAGAAGGTCACACCCGATTCTTTCGAGTCCAGAGTCCACAGGTGAAGAGTCCAATTGGAAAATGAATGCGTGTTTTACCAAGTAAATATGCTTTCCGTGCCAAATTATGTCAGGCCGCTAATAATGTCTTTAATACCTTTAAACTCAAAATAGCGAAATCATGATCCAGAATACAGCTATGTGAAACATACGTTTGGAGAGGTGTTTACGACGACATGAGTAGCACAGTACTTATTCAACGTATGCAAATTCCCCGCGCTAATTTACAACAAAGTGCATTAGTCTCTCCTCCAGCGGTGACATCTCGCGATTTCTCAACCTCCTAAACGATGATTCGGACTTCGCAACGAAATTCGTCGCCTCGACATTTCTGTGATCTGTTTGCTGCACCCCCATGTTCCTCAATCACGTCACAAAATATACCGTTCCTATCCTACATCTGTACAACTACTCGTCGCCTCGCTAACTCTGTTACGTCCTACCACCACGTTCTGCATTTCCAGCTT